ATTACATTTTGTGGTTTTTTGCCATATATGTTTGCGACAAAAAATTTTATAAACGAAAAGCAAAACGTTCATAGTTTCATGATCCGTAGTGATCTTTTCTAGATCTACACTTCGAGCAAAAGTGTATGAGATCCGAAAAAAGGTTATGCTTTACTATTCAAAATTTACAATTTGATTAGCTTATTAACATATAACTCAGCTTCTGAGATATATCTCAGCTTTTGATTTGTGTAATCGAATGAAAAAGAATCGTCCGATCTGCGTTTCTATACTATAAAAGGGGCGATCTACATTGCCCATTTTTGGTAATGTGCCCGACTGTATGTTTGCGTTAAAAGCGATCTGACCGGCGCGGCAGATTCATTTATTTACGATGCTATAATAAATATGATATTAATTAATAATTGTTACGAGGAACTTGATAGATTCAATTGTGTTATAGTAATTTGTGTCAAAATAACTTGAGAATCGTATGACAACTATTTTTCGTTCGTACATAGTTAAGCTTCGTCTGAGATATACTCGATTAAATAATTGGTCGAGATCATGTTTCTCATTATTTTTATTATGTCGCAAAAAAAAATAAAATAAAATACCTTATTATTTTGAATAAGCCCTATTGAAAGCCTTGTATCTATATACACAGGGTATTTGCTAAGTACGTAAATACGCGTTCGTTTGTATGAATTCTTTTAAAATCCCTTTAAATTGTCTCTTTGCTGTTTGACCATATTAAAAGATATGCCGGGTACTATAACTGTACTTTGTTATGTAACTGATTGTCGAGTTACATCTGGCAAAAATATCTATGTAGCTGAAGCTTCGGGTTTTATGAAATCTCGAAGTTTAAATTCGCCCTTAAAAATCTTTTTAAAAGGGTTTTATCCTCAAAATATGACTCAAGAATTTAGTCTTCCCCTGATTGAAAAAGAAGATGTAATTCTTGCTGTCGGAAAATTTCGTGTGGTTGAGTATATAAATGAAAGAAATGAAAAGCTTTCCGCCTTAAAAGTTGTTTTATATTTTCTATTTTTTATAATATATGTATTTTTGCGTGTTAAGATTTATTTCTGATAAATATGTTTTTTTTTTTTTTTTTTTTTTGTCTACAGATTATTTTAAGTGATCTCGTACATCTTAACCTGGAGCCAGACGATCTTCCGAAATTTCCGGCCTTGGTTAGTATGACTGCAATGGTACAAGACCCCCGAATATTGACGGCGAAGACGCATTTATGACGGTTGTGATGACTGATTATATAGATCAGGATCAAAATGACATTGAGATAAGATGTCATTACTTGACATCCGCACCTCATTTGATTCGCATAACTCCGGCCATAAAAAAAAATTCAATTCTTTATATTAACGGTGAATTTATCTTACATAATAATGAAAATTACTTGCACGTTAAAAATATAACCTTTGCCGGTTATCAAAAAACGTTAATGAACGTTGGTAACTCTTCCAAAGTTCCCTGGGAAGATAAGCCTTCTGATGAGTCCGGTAAAGTTTTTAGTTTTGCTGATGCAATAGCCGCAAAATTTGGCTCTAAACATGCCAAGAATAAGAAAACATTTACGACGAACTCACCTGTAACACCTACAATTAACCCAACTGTAACACCTACGATTAACTCATCTGCAACTCCCGCGGTTATCTTACCTGTAACACCTACGGTTAACCAACCTGTAACGCCTATTACTATGGTCAACCCACCTGTAACGCCTATTACTATGGTTGACCCACCTGTAACATCTATTACTATGGTTAACCCACCTGTAACACCTGCGTTTGACCCAGCTGCAACACATCCGATTGATCCACCTATAACTAAACTTTCTTCAACGTCAAAATCATATACACGACCTAGCACCGGTAAAAAATCGTCGTCTACGACTAAATCTTCGAATAAACCGTATACACGAACTAGAGGTCGACGCAGAGTAACGGACTTGGCAAAAGATATGTTGACCGATTTGAATGAATCAGATCAGTCTCCTGTTACCTCTCTTGATGATCACCTTCAACCTGAATAAGATTTATTAGATCAATGTCTGTATATACGCATGTGTGCGTATGTATATATGAATGTATGTATTCCGTTTATTTGTTATTAAATTCTAGATCTAAACGCTTAATTGATAGTTAAATAGATCAATACGACCGTTATTTCAATGGTTTGTAATATGTAACATATTACTGTATTTAAATAACCAAAATTAATTTATACTTTGATTACCACACAAGCTTATTACGTTATTATCTACTTCTAATCAAAATAATTAGTTCTATATAAAATCATCAGTATGTGTCTACGTATCTACGTACTTCGTTAGGATTCGCTATTGAACTATATAAATCAAGGCTTGTGTAGTATCATATAAAAATTAAATATTAGTTTTTTTTTTTTTTTTTAACTGTATATCACTACAACAGTATATATAGTAATCTTAATAGTTTATGTATGATTAATATTACTAAAAAATATTTATCTTATATATGATTACTATTATTAAAGATCATTTTTAGAGGTAAAAGACAAATTTTATAATTTTATTACTTTTTTCGAATAGCTTAACTTGATATTAATCTTAAATATATTTCTAACAGATTTACGTTCCAAGATCTCGCATTTTAAAGTAAAAGTTTTACGGTCATCAAAAGCTTTCCTTTTTTTTTCTTTCTGACGCCTTGACTAAAATTTATTCAAATTTTAAGTATTAACATATAAGTATAGCATAAAATATTTTAATGTAACTTTGTTATAAATATGCTTAAAATTCGATAAATGCCAAAATATTTGAAAAAAAACAACATAATTCGTTTTCCGCTTCTAAAAATGCGTGAATCGTTCTTTAATATATTTTTATTATATAAAAAATATAAACTTGGGCTACTATTCTGATCGTTATATTGCTATATATCTAAAAAATAGGTTACTGTTAATTTTATTAATAGACCACAATTTTTTGATTTACATAGTCCACGGTGCACCCCAGTACTTCGTACGCGATAAATATGTATAGTTCATTAGAGTGATAAATCAATTAAATAAATCAAAACTATGTGAGCAAACTATAGAATTTGATATATTACTTATTTTTCACGTTACACGATTAAAATTAATTTAATTAATGCCATATTACATAAATATATTTATTAAATTTAATTACTTTAAAATGGTACAACTTATCGAATACCTAACGAATTATCTCAAAATTTTCACAAGTAACTTTTTAAATGTTGGATAATAAAGTTACGCTTTTGAACTTTCTATTAACATATAAATTTGAACATTTGTCTTATATAATTTAATTTTTGTTATTTAAAGTAAAAAAAAAATTAAATTTTAAACATACAAATCGAAATTTAAATAAAATTTTTACAATAAATCGAGCGTAACTTTTTAGAGATGACTTTTGTGAAGATTTTTCAATTAAAAAAATTATAAAAAGAAATGCAATTCCAATATGCGTTCTTTAGAAATTGTGCATTATTTATTAATTAAATATATATAAATATGATATTTAATCCATATTTTAATTTCACTGATTAAAATCTGATCATAGTAAAATTGCTAATATAGTTTTGATTTATTTAATTGATTTACCATCTCAATAGTTCATGCATGTATGTACTTATTATAATGATATTTATTACTATGCATCTTTTTAATCAAATTAAGAAGTATGTACAGTTCATGCACATATGTACTTGTGAAAATATTTACGACCACGCCTCCTTTTAATCGAATTAAAAATATATACAATTCATGCATGTATGTACTAATTATGAGAATCTTTACGACCACGCCTCTTTTTTGATCGAACTAAGAAATATCCAAATTGTGCCTCATTATTTTTGATAAAATTAAACCAATTATGGGTTCTTGTACGTACTTCAATATTTTGATTTTACTAATTAAAAATACTGATTATGTTGGCTGATTGACCACAGCAAATCAACCAACCCGATTCGATTACTTATTTTTTCCGATATACTATCCATTCTTTCCTTTTTAACATTCTTTTTTTTTTCTCTATCTGTAATAAATAAAAATTACCCTTTTTTGGTCATTAGTGTTTAACGCGCCACCATCCATCAAGACGGCTGTTTCTTGCATCAAATTAACAATTACGATAATCTATCGCCAGTATTCTCGTATCTTGCATGATTAATACTTTTCTTTTTTAAATAAATAAAGCACTTAAAGATAACTTCTTTGATTTAAAACTGGGTTAAATTGTTTTTAATACA